TAAAAAGAAAAAGGTTTAACAGTTTAAAGCAGGGGTGCCCAACCTTTTTTGAACCGAGAGCTACTTTTAAAGTTGCCAGTCTGCCGAGATCTACCAGTCCAAATAGAGAGGCGTAGCCATTACAGACAGCCTACTACCAGGTAAATACACACTTCTACTTGAATAAAACTGACCTTTGTACGATGAATACTTCATAAAATACTGCAGATCCTTTATCTTACCTCTTTCTAATCTACACACATACAAGTATGTAACTGAAGTTACACAACAGTGTTGTTGATACAGAGTTGGAGTTTATTCAAACGTCACACTACAGTGGGTAATGTTTTCAAGAAGCATTGAACAGTGCTGCCACATATGACACAGGAAGAAAATAAAAGACTCGTTGTTTACTCACAGTTTGAAAGCAGCGTGGAGAAGTCTTCAGCTGTGGTAATCCGCTCGAATAAATCCTTAAAACCAGCTATTGTTGCCCAGTTTATCACTGAATATCGTTCTTAATGTGATACCAAGTCCATCTGAGACCTGTGTACACCTTCAGACAGCCTCCAAGTGAAGCACACATTGTTTACTCAGAGTTTGAAAGCAGTGTGGAGAAGTCTTCAGCTGTGAACTGTAAACTGTGATCCTCAGGTAAACATCCGCCCAGGGAAAAATGGGACTCGCCCAGGTTAAACTGTGTTATGACTTCTGTGGCTATCTACCAGCGATCATGTTTAATATGAAAGACTACACACACACATGTATCCCTTTATATAAACAGTATTCTGCAGCACTCATCTAGATAAGATGTGACTGTTAACCCGTGTTGCAAAGATAGCAGCAGAAATTTCATTGGATACTTAGACTTTAAAATGCTGATGGGTCATTAATGTTGGTCTCGGCAAACAATATTAGGAATCCTCTATTCAACAGGGGCGGCGCCAGGGGGGAGCTAGGGGTGCTGAAGCACCCCCCAGGATTGCCAAAGCACCCCCAAGAAATGTGTTTTTTTTTATTTTTTTATTATTATTATTATTAAATTAGAAATATTATTGATTACATCAATGCAAATGTGAAAGAAACACATTTTTGACCAAAAACATAAAGCCAACACAGGTGATATGATTAGGCCAATGGCCAGCACCCATTCGATTTTTGACCTACCCATAGGCTAAATTACTTTGTGACACTTGAGTGACTTCCTGTTAGCTAGAGTGCCAAATTATTTGCTAACAGCAAAGTGAAAAATGTATCATTTTTTAGTCCTTAAACGTCCACGTGTGGACACTCAATCAAAACCACCTGAAAGCGAGAGGGATTCTGCACATAATAGCATAGCCTCGTGAGTACAAGTAGCTTACTTCTGGGTCTCTGTGTTTAATTCAAGCTCTGCTCTGTGTGTGTGTGGCACCATTTTGTGTGCGTGCGCGAGCGAGCGAGAGAGAGAGCTCGCGCACCGGTGGGTATCTACTGTCGATCGTTGTGGTTAGCATCTGGTGCTAGCTAGCCAAGCTAACGGATATAAGGAGCTTTTTCAACAACAAGGTGGAGGGAGAATCTCTCCTGTCAGACTGAGAGTCTCAGATAACCTCAGCTCAGGTGAAGTAAAGGACTCTCAGTGTTTAGATAGTTAACTTTAGTCTAGTTATCTCAGTGGGTCTCAAACGGTTTGTTTTAAAAGGGGAGTGATTTGTAAAATATCTATAAAGAAATAGAAAATCTGTTTACAGTTCTGTTTCATATGTATGTTGAGAGATACAGTATATCCATAGATCTCTTAATGTTGCTCTCAAACAACATCAGATTGATGCTTTTAACTTCAATGTTTAAAAAAATCTTCCAGGGGAAGCATGTTGTGGACCGCACTAGAGGAGGTGAGGTCCCTCCTAGAGGAGGTGAGGTCCACCCCCCACTTGTAAAAATAGCACTTTACCCCTGCTTACACCTATATGCCGTGAGCTGATTATCGAGCCTTCATTGTAACAGTCGCGGGTACACTGTGTGTGCGTGTGGGGAGTGTTGCAGTAGAAAATTCAACTGTAGCGCTGGTGCATTAATGGGAAACCCTTAATGTTTGAGCACCCTCTATGAAACGTCAAGCTACCCCACAGCACCCCCTAGAGAAAATCTCTGGCGCCGCCACTGCTATTCAAACATAATATTCAGTGTGCATCGACATGAAAATAACAAAAAAGTTCATGCAGGACTCAAACCCGGGTCCCAACAGCAAAAATCACGCAAGTCCTGCGCGTTATGAGTGCGCCACAAATCAACATGGCACCTTACGGAGAATCATAAATTAAATAAGTGTGTTCAAAACACTCACGTCAATTACATTACATTCCATTTACCTGACGCTTTTATCCAAATGCCTACTATAATATGTATATTATAAGTGTAGATACATTCGCTCACATTATAAATGATGGTCGGGTTGCATCTTTCTGGAACTTTTTAACAAGGTTCATCCAAGAAATTAAAGTGTGGTGGTGTAATAGCCTACTTTGTGTAGATCCGTGGCGCCCCAGTAACGCGCAGGGCCCGAGTGATTTTTGCTGTTGGGACTCGGGTTTGAGTCCTGCATGAACTTTTTTGTTATTTTCATGTCGATGCACACTGAATATTATGTTTGAATAGAGGATTCCTAATATTGTTTGCCGAGACCAACATTAATGACCCATCAGCATTTTAAAGTCTACCTGCACATGCAGCAATGACATTTCTGCTGCTATCTTTGCAACACGAGTTAACAGTCACATGTTATCTGGATGAGTGCTGCAGAATACTGTTTATATAAAGGGATAAATGTGTGTGTAGTCTTTCATATTAAACATGATCGCTGGTAGATAGCCACAGAAGTCGTAACACAGTTTAACCTGGGCGGGTCCCATTTTTGCCTGGGCGGATGTTTACCTGAGGATCACAGTTTACAGTTCACAGCTGAAGACTTCTCCACGCTGCTTTCAAACTCTGAGTAAACAATGTACGCTTCACTTGGAGGCTGTCTGAAGGTGTACACAGGTCTCAGATGGACTTGGTATCACATTAAGAACGATATTCAGTAATAAGTCTGGCAACAATAGCTGGTTTAAATGATTTATTGGAGCTCGCAATGTTTTGAACAGACATCCCCAGTCAACTCGTTTTTCTTTTTGTAGTCCCCGCTGTTCGCGTCCGGATATCTTTATCGTAACCACAACCTCACACACTGGTACTGAATGTGCATCAAAGTCTTCCTACCGAGCCAAATATACCAAAAGATTTATGTAAACGACAGAAGAAGCGATCGAAAATCACCCCAGTTGATTGGGAAACCAGTTAACGGGGGAACCAGTTAATCCGGAACACCTCCAGGAATGCTTCTTTCACAACTTCGCCGTCTTTGAAAGACTTCATGTGTTTCTCAAGAACGTGACTGACACGATAAGATGCTATGGTAGCAGCCTTGCTCTTGTTGTTGGGCCTGGTGAAAATGGACTGCTGTGCATTTAGCTGTCCTTTCAGGCCCCTCCCCTTTTGGGAGTGTAGGGCAGAATTAGGAGGGAATTCCGTCTCGTAGCGTTTGTGCACTGTTTTGAAATGCCGCTCCTAAATTACCCTTCTTCGATAAAGCCACGCTCGCATTGCAGATGAGACAGATGGACTTTGAATTGGAATAGATACAAAAATAATCATCCTCCCACTCGGAGTGAAAATTATATATTTTGGGCTTTTTTGCTTCTGCCACAATTGCGGTCTTGTGTGTGTGCGGACTGTCACTCCTGTTGACCATCCATGCTGTTGACACAGACAACGTCAGCGAACTAGTGCCCACTGCCCACAAGCCACGCCCTGACACATGGGGTCACGCTGGCCAATCACAAAGCTTTGATGCGTTCAAGTGCATTATTCTGGCACAGGAAGATTATGTTAGGACATTAACGATAAAACAGAATATTGTTGTTCTATTTTTAGACACATCTCGCGATCGACTGGTTGGGCACCCCTGGTTTAAAGAATAGATAGCCCAGTGGATAGAGCCGGCGGCTGCATGCAGCGATGTCCTCTGCGCAACTGGTTCAAATCCTGGAATGGATTAACTTTTAATCATTGTCCGCTTTTCAACTTTAATACTATAACTCAGGGCTATTCAATTACACATTCAGTTGGGCCAGATTTTATAACTAAAAAATGCAGCTGGGCCAGACATTCAGCGGCCTGTAAAAAGCGGTTAATGACTGTAAGGGAAACTTCTGCAGCAATGGAGAGTCAGGACTCAGAGAGACACGAGGAGAGTTGGAGCTTTGATGTCAAACAATGATAGTTTATTACAAGTCAACGGCCGGAGAATTCATATCACAAGTCACAGCAGCAAAATGTTCTGACTGCACGGGTGGGTTGTCATGTCAATTCTGATCAGCCTCGCATTTTGGTAGACCTTATAACTAGTTTACAGAGAGTCAAATCCACATATTGGGGATGGGCGTAAACATCTGCAGACACAGTAGATGTCTCTCACTTCGCA